GGCATATACTTCAGGGTAAACTTTGCAGCCTCCACTGACTGGCTATAAAAAAAAAAAAGAAGAAAAAAAACCTCCAAGAGTAAAACACCGCTTGAGTCTTAGAGAATGTTTTTATTTTCACAAATGCACAAAAAAAAATTTGAAAGAGAAATCTGAATGAAAAAAAAATTTAAATTTCTACACATCAAATGCCTTCTGCGTGCAGACCGCTGGTGCCACACGGTGTGTGTCACGCCTTGTATTGCTCGGGGTAACTGACCGAGGTGGGCATGGAGACGGGTGGTGGATCTAGTGACCTAGCTCTTGTAGAGGCAAGGTGGTCCAGGGCCCTTGGTGAAAGAGCTGTGTGCTGGGACGGAGCTGCATCACTGGAGTTTTAGGTCTGGGCTGGTCACAGGCTGTGCTGAGCTCTCTCGTTGTCGGCATTGCCAGCAGGAGCCACCTTGACTGCTGCTTGCTCTTTTCCAGGCGTCGAGATGGGACATGTCAGAGACAACCAGCTCCTCCATGCGCACAAAACCTGCAGAGCACGGTGATTCAGTCGATGGTTTGCTCCACACAGCCTGAATTTTCCCCTTTTTAACAAGGCCAGCCGAGGATGCTCGCTCCGTTGGAGACAGCACAAATCACTTTGGCTTGGCCAGCAACAGTGGCAGCACAGGGCATACCACCATTGCCCCTGCCAGCACTCAGACATGAAGCCTGCTTTGCAGAAACCACCCCTCATCCAGCATTTGGTCCACACACAGCACCTTTCATCAACGTGATGGACGTTCAACAAGACAACATGGGGATGTTCAACACAGGCAACCCCAACCGCTCAACCCCGCTTTCCAAGAGTCTCCACCACAGCCCTAAAACTTCAGGAACAGACACAATTCCTGGTCTTTTCTCACCCCTCGGGCTAAAAGTGGCACATCCCTTGCCAATGGGGAGCTAGGAACCCATAGAGCCATCCCTGCTCAAAGCTCCTGTCTGACGTACAGGCAGCGCAGGCAGCAGAGGGAAGCACAGGCAGTGTTCGAGGAGGCTTCAAGGGCTGTCCCACCTCCCAGCGTGTCCGTAACCCAGCAGGGAAGATGGTGTCAAAGTGAAAGGGGATGAGTGGAAAGAAAGAGAAAGGAGAAAGGGATGGGGAGAGAAAAGGTCAAACCAGAAAAGGAAGTTCCTTTCAACATGAGCCACAAGGAAAAAAAAATCTTCTGCCCCAACTCTGCTGACATCAAGGTTTTGAACAAAACTTATTTCCAACCACACACTTCTGCAAACTCTGTTGCCCTCTTCACCCGCAGCGGAGCTCACCTAAGGGGGAATGAAAAGCCCCGTTTTGCATTTGCCTCCTCCTCTGGTACAGAAGAGCCCCGCAGACCAGCATCGAGATGGGAGGGACGATCGAGACCAGCAATGGGAGCAGCGGCAGAGGCTGCAGAGGTCTGATGGTAACAGAGCCTGTGGGGAGAAAGCAAACATCGCTTCATCCAGAGCTAATTCAGGAGATCAATGGACATCACAAGGACATGAAGAAATGGGCACAGTGTGTGCTGTGGCAAATTCCCATTAGGCAGTGGAAAATACTCTTTTCCCCCATGAGGATGGTTAAATATTGTAACAGATGAGAAAGGTGTTTGGATCTCCCTCCTTGGGGACTTTCACATCTTCACTGGTCAAGGCCATGAACAACATGGTCTCGTTGGTCTAACAGAGAGTGGAAGATTAGACCAGAGCTCTCCAGAGATCCCTTCCAATCTACATTGTTTTGTGATCGTATGATTCAGGAAAGGAGATACAAAGAAAGCTTCTGCTAAGACCCTGTCACCATCAGGCATGGTCCCCTCGGGGCTGTAGCACCTTTGCACTGCTTGTGGCCATTCAACGCCCACATCCATGCACCATCTCGTGCATCACGACCGTCTATGCTTCAGGGGTGGACCGCTGCAGAAGCCAAGGCCATTCAAGGTGCCACCACTCTGACTGCTCCAAGCAGGGCAGTCTGCAGAGCGGCTTATTCCTGGCGGGCCCTACCAGGGCTGGACGGTTGCAGAATGGTCCCTTCTGCAAAGGGGACCCTTCTGATGGGGCAGGAGTCAAGAGTTACCCGTGCATTCAACGCCAGCATCCTCTCTGGGGTTGCAGTTATGGCTCCCCCAGGACCTGGCCTGGCGCAGAGAAAGGGCAGCCTCCGTCCCACCACAGGTCACTTCGTCCAGCCAGATGGGCCCCGACCCCTGCCCGAAGGCAGCCCCAAACTGATCTGACAGTGCCTGGCCGCAGCCCACCTCCCTGCACGCCACTTTGGCGTCCATCAGGCTCCAGCTGTCGTCGCACACGGTGTCCCATTCGCCATCGTGGAGGACTTCAACTCTGCCGGAGCAGAAACTTGAGCCATTCGCCAGCCTGGTACGGGTCGAACCTGGAGCGGGTGCCCCTGCAAACACCCCCGGGGAGCAAACGGTCAGAGATTTTGCTGGGCGTGCCACAGCCGGCAATGCTTAGGAGCAGGGTCTCCTGCCCAGCAAGCCCGGATGGCATCCAACAGGACGTGCCCATGAAGGGATTCATCCCCGTAAAGCCAGGAGGTGGTTGGGCTGAGAAATGGCCAGGGAGCTGCAGCCTCGATGCCAGGAGATGTGGAGAGCTTTGGCAGTGTGCCCAGGCGGCCAAGAAGGCCAATGACATCCTGGCCTGTATCAGAACTAGTGTGGCCAGCAGGAGCAGGGAAGTGATCGTGCCCCTGTACTCGGCACTGGTGAGGCCGCACCTCGAATACTGTGTTCAGTTTTGGGCCCCTCACTACAAGAAGGATGTTGAGATGTTGGAACGTGTCCAGAGAAGGGCAACGAGGCTGGTGAGGGGTCTGGAGAACAAGTCTTATGAGGAGCAGCTGAGGGAGCTGGGGTTGTTTAGCCTGGAGAAAAGGAGGCTGAGGGGAGACCTCATTGCTCTCTACAACTACCTGACAGGAGGCTGTAGCGAGGGGGGGGTCGGTCTCTTCTCCCAAGTAACTGGCGAAAGGACGAGAGGAAACGGCCTCAAGTTGTGCCAGGGGAGGTTTAGATTGGACGTGAGGAAAAATTTCTTTACTGAAAGAGTGGTTAAACCTTGGAAGAGGCTGCCCAGGGAAGTGGTTGAGTCACCATCCCTGGAAGTATTTAAAAGACGGGTAGATGAGGCGCTTAGGGACGTGGTTTAGTGGGCATGGGGGTGTTGGGTTGACGGTTGGACTCGATGATCTTGGAGGTCTCTTCCAACCTTAATGATTCTATGATTCTATGATTCTAAGGTGAGAACAGCATTTGGAAATTGCCTGGAGCAATAGCGTGAAGAGGCTAATTCTCCACAAAATTAGGAAGGGAGGGAGTAATTCTGCCTACCTTAGGGGACAGATCCAGCTCAAAATTAAGGGTCCTACCCGCCAGTGGCCATAGGTACGTGTTTGTCTGTGAGCTGGGTGCCTACACTCACTGTACAGAGGACTCCCAGTCAACAGCAAGGGGCAATCAGTCAACAAGAAGGGGTGACCAGTCAATAGCAAGGGGCAAGACGGTTGTCCTGCCTGCTGTTTAACCCTTTGCTTGTCCACAGCAGCTGATGCAAGCCATGGTGGATGCGTGTTCCTCACCTGAGCACAAGACGCTGGCGTCTTCCCCGTGCCCGCAGTTGCGGGCTCCCCAGGGCCGTGCCCAGCACTCAGAAAGGGCGGCCTCCATCCTGGCGCAGTGTACGTTGGCCAGCCAGATGGGGTCTGCTCCTCGCCCGTAGTGAGCCCCGCCAACAGCCGACAGCGCTGACCCGCAGCCCAGCTGCCGGCAGACCACGCAGGCTCCCTTGAGGTCCCAGTGGTCATCGCACGCCGTCCCCAGGTGCCATTGTAAAGCACCTCCAGCCGGCCCGTGCAGGAGTCGGGGCCATTCACCAGCCTTACGTCGGCAGGACCTGACGCTGGTGACGACAGAGAGCAAAGGGAAGGAGATGTTAATGGGAAATAATGCAAAAGAAGAGGCTAGGCAGCAGCTGGGAAAGCATCTTGACACTTGTTGGCCAAAAGGAATGGGGAAGAACCACCAAGCGAGAGAGAAAGACATGACCAATTATAATTTTATTATAATTATTTTCAGGGGGACACATGGCAGCTGGCCCTTGAGCAAACTCCAGGCTTTTCCAGCTGCGAATACAGTCCCTTAAAACCAGGAAGGCCAAAATACATTAAGACGTTTTGCTAATTGCTTTTTAAGTGCACTGCTAATTGCTTTTTCAGTGCTTGACTCTGCACAGCTTGCAGGACGAACTCCCTAAGCACAACACCAGCAGGGGTAACTGAGTCGCAGGCTCTTTGTGGGAGCGATTTTGAGCAAGACTGTGCAGCCGGAGCACAAGGTGCCAGGGACTCTGCACCCACGGCTCTAACCTGGCTTTGCTGGATGAACAGCCTTGACCCCATGTCGTGGTTTAACCTCAGCCGGCAACCGAGCACCACGCAGCCGCTCGCTCCCTCCGCCTCCCTGGTGGGATGGGGGAGAGAATTGGAAGAGTAGAAGTGAGAAAAAGTCATGGGTTGAGATAAAAACAGCTTAAGAATTGAAATAAAATAAAATAATAATAATGTAATAATAATAATACACAAAGCAAGTGATGCACAGTGCAATTGCTCACCACCCACCAATTGATGCCCAGCCAGTCCCCGAGCAGCGGCCCCCCCCGGCCAGCTTCCCCCAGTTTATGTACAGAGCTTGACGTCCCATGGTATGGAATGTCCCTTTGGCCAGTTTGGCTGTGCCCCCTCCCACCTTCTTGTGCACCCCCAGCCTTCTCAGTCGGTAGAGCATGGGAAACTGAGAAGTCCTTGGGTAGTGTAAGCATTACCTAGCAACAACTAAAACATCGCTGTGTTATCAACATTGTTCTCCTCCTAAATCCAAAACACAGCACTGTACCAGCCACTAGGAAGGAAATTAACTCTATCCCTGCTGAAACCAGGACACCCCAGGGTAAGGAATGGAGCTGAGCAAAGGGCTCCCTTATTTTCTGCAAGCACCCATCCTGCTTCCTCAGACCAGCCTGACCCAAGCACATCAACACCATGATATTTCCTTCCCCATCACAGGGCAGGTAAATCCCATTCCTCCTCGTTTTTTGCCCATTCCAGCTCCGTTGCCCATCGTCAGCACTACTGAAATGGCAGCAACACGCTCAGTGCACTCGGTTTCTACACCTTTCCCACTTTTCACTGCTTATTTGTAATGTGCTGTGCGACTCTGCCGCCATAAAAATTTCTCCCCTCTTCGTGGCACGCGCCTTCTAGAAGATAATGGCACTTTTGAGGGACCCTCAAGCCTTCTGCAGCTGTCAGCTGGAGGAGAGCTACTTGTTGCAGCTGGGCTTGGCAGGTCTGCGTCTTACCCTACTTGCAAAAGCACCTGTGAAACCATGGGCGCTGCTCAACGTGCACACCTTATGAAGCCATGAAGCCATGGGTGTTGGTCTACATATGCCCCTTAACCATGAAGCCATGGGTGTTGCTCTAAGCCTGCACCTCACAAATTTGCAGCAACCACAATCAAAGCACCCAGAAACAAAGAGGAGCGGCAGCACTCTGGCATGCCGTGTCCCGAAATGCGGCGTGCAACCAGCACCGGGGAGGGGGGGATACGGGGGGAAATGCGAGAGCACTCACCACACAGCCCTGCTAGGACGAGGAGGATCTCTGCAGCCCTGAGCCCAGCATGGGTGGACAGTCTGTCACCCCCAGAGTGCCCAGCTGACAGCAAAGGACTTTTGGAGAAGCTGCTCCCAGCCTGGCAGGCGTGCGGGAAGAGGTGGGCTTGGCAGAGGCTGCGATCAGGTCCACCATCTCCAGCTGGAGAAGAAATACGCTGAAGACCTGATGAAGGCAGCTGGGAGAGGACGCTTTCCGCGCTGCTCCATCCCCCGGCTTTCTGCGCTGCTCTGTCCCTCAGCTCCCCGGTGGCTCTCGCATCACGCGGAGTCCAGTGGATGAAGGGGAACCGAATCTTCTGCTTTCAGCTTGATCCTTGGTGACCAGCAAACATCCCGTGGGTGACATCCCATGGGTCCGCCGCTCAAGAGGACATCAGAAGGGGGACGGGGAGGGCTGGGGGAGTTGCAGGGCTTGGTTGTAGGGTCTTAGTTTCGCCCCAGCAAGTGTGTCTGCTCATACGTGATGCTGACTCCATAGCCAACGGATGAGAAAATGGATGAGCATCAAATGGCCCGTCGCCTTAATGAGGAGCAGACTCAGGTCTGGTCCCACTGAGGGGGCTGAGACCAGCAGATCAGGCATGGGCACCAGCACAGCAAGCCTTCGGGAGCATCTCAGAGGCTTGGGACAGGCAGCAGGTGCTCTTGGTGGGGAAGGAAAGCAGCCTCTTCCACTTTCAGCTACTATCTCGTTCAGATGTGAAGCAGGAATTCGGCCCAAACCTGCTGAGGCCATCTGCAAGAGGTCCTTTTCTCCGCCCCCATGGGCAAACGTGGGCGATGAGGCTGCAGACATGTCGGTCGGGACCACAACTGGCAGCAGGTCAGCCAAGGATCTCCCAGTTATTAATTGCCGAGCAGAGGACACCAGACACCACGTCTTCTTGCCTAGCTCTTGTTCTCCTTGCTCGGCTTAAGCTGCAGTCTTCCTCACGATTCTTCCCTCCTCTTTGGCTCACCCAGGTCTGGGATGGGGTCTCCATGGTTGACCCGAGGACTTCAACTGAGTCTCATCGGTCAAAAATGGCTGGGACAGGCATCAGCTTGGGGTTGCTTTTAGGATTCAACCTGAGGAACCTTGGGTTCACCACAACAAAGCTCAGACTAAGCTATGAATTCAGTTTCACGCTTTGTTGAAGGTGAGCTGGAGCCCACAGCCAGACGATGGAGATTGGTGATGGCTGCTTGGTATCAACCACCCCCAGAAATGCTTGCCTCACAGCAGATGTCTGGGGAGACCTTCGTATGGAGGGTGGAAAGCAAAGCAAGCTCCTTTTGCCGATTTCCCCCCCTTGCCCCGGCTGTTTAAATAAAATAAGGCTGAATAAGGTAGAAATGGCCACCGAGGTTCGAAGAAATGAAGCCGTAACTTGCTGTACTGGCTTTGCCTGGGTTTCAAACCACTTCCCGTACTGCCCCTCAGCACGGGGCGCTGATTTCGGGTGAGCATCCTCTTGCAAATGTTGCACCGAGAGCAGCAGCAGCCGCCATCGGAGGCAGGGGACGCCTGGTGGGGAAGGGAAAGGGCTTGTCTGACGCCTCCGTTGCCCGGAGAAGCCTCCTGCTCCAGGGAAGGCGGCACCGGGAGTCATGGGGGAGCAGGGGTAAGAGCGAGCGTTTCAGATGGCCCACTGATTCAGCTGGTGCAACCAATGCCACGTGTAGACGGGCAGGGAGACTTGTGTTGGAACATCTCCAGCACCACCTCCAGCACCACCTCCAGCACCACCTCCAGCATTGCAGGCGGGGCAGGTGTTTTGCGTCCTACACAAGGTCCCCAAGGGCACAAAGGGTGCGGATGGAGACGGCTGGGGGACAGGGACACCTGGCATGCTCCGCGTGGGTAGGGAAGGTGGGCAGAAGCACGTTCTGATCCTGAGGTCCGGCCAGGTGAAGGACCTTGCTGTCTACCTGGGTTCCTCCTCTGCTGGGATGAGATCCTGGCTGCCGGGGAGAAGCAGGAGGAGATCCAGGCTGCTGGGAAGAGCAGGAGGAGGCCGAGGCTGTTGGGGGAACTTCTCAGGGATCTATAGGGCACAGCTGGGGACACTTGCCACTACCAACGCCAGGGGGTGCATAAGGACGGACAATAGAAGGACGGACGATAGAAGGACGGACGATAGAAGGACAGACGATAGAAGGACGGATGATAGGAGGAGAGAGAAGGTGCACGCGGCCATGCAGCAACAGGAGATGTGGGGCAGGGAGAGGTGCAGGAGCAAAGGGGGAGATGTGGGGCAGGCAGGCGTGGGGCAGCCCCCCTGGCCAGGGGGTGCATAAGGACGGACAATAGAAGGACGGACGATAGAAGGACGGACGATAGAAGGACGGACGATAGAAGGACGGACGATAGAAGGAGAGAGAAGGTGCACGCGGCCATGCAGCAACAGGAGATGTGGGGCAGGGAGAGGTGCAGGAGCAAAGGGGGAGATGTGGGGCAGGCAGGCGTGGGGC